TTACGCCCTGGGATTCGGCCAAAGCGTACAGACGCAGGAAGTCGCCGATGAACTGAACGATCGTCTGATTCTCGTCGGGTGTGAACCAAATCACCACTAATTTGGACAACAGTTCCGGCGAATAGAGTCGCGAATGCATGAGGAGTTTGGCGACCCCTTGAACCGCGGTTTCCCTGATCTCCGCCACCTGTGAGTCCAGTTGTGTCTCAAAGAACTGTTTCAATGATGTGATGAAGTCCTCGTCGCTGTCGTCGAACGCCAGTTGTCTCACTTGGGAGTTGTCTTCGCTTTTGTCGCCATTCTTATCCACTTTATCGTCAAATAAAGTGATTCCGTGTTCGCACAGGGAGTCGAAAATGCTTTGCAATGCAATGATTTTGATCGGTTCGATGTCTTTCAGGAAAATCTGAATAAAAATGGTTTTAAATTTAGAAGTATTCATAAAAACAATATTTGATTTTAAAAAATTGATAATTACTTCAATCAAAAGATGTAAATATTTCTTGAAATACTGAGGACTCGTCAGACATACTAAGCCCAGACATCGAGTGGCAACCCTTCGCACCGACACGTTATCACTCAGAAAACCGGGTAAACACTGAATGAAGTGATTTTAAATATTAATTATAATCATAAACAAAACCATTACGAGTAAAGTAATCATAGAGTAAATACAAACCACTTTCTCGATGTGTGTTTGCATTACAGCATTCACTTCGACATAGTTTCCAAACTCCAAACAACTCGAAAATATTTGCAAACAACTCATCAGTGACTTCGGGTAATCCTAACGGTTGTCATCAATGATTAGAAAAATTAGTTAATTTAAACCACAAATCAATTGTAAACTAATTAATCAACGAATTGTTACTAACCGTTAAACTCTTTGGTTGTTGTGATGTTTGCGATGATTGTGACAATAATGAGGTATTATTAGCGGCGATCTTATCCTTTAAGACATTGATCTCTGTCTCCAGATCCTTGATCTTTTGACTCATGTCTTGCACTTCACTCTCTCGGCTCTCGGATTCCATATCTTGTAAATCAGTTCTGCATTTCTCCAGATCTGCGCTTAATTTGTTTCGTTTGTCTTCGAGTTCTCGATTCGACTCATCAGCCATCGACTCGATCTCATCAGCAGTGGATACAGTTGTGGCAAATATCTCACTGATAATCTCAACGGTAAAGTCCAGATAAGCGTTATTATCTGTAAAACCATTTTTGCCCAAACACTTCATGACTGGCGTTATATAGCCATTGAATTTGTCGCCAATTTGGCTGTCGATTAGTATTGAACGCATGGTCTTCACTAAGATCTTCCTGCAAATCAATCAAAACATTCATTCATTAATTAAATAGTTCACAAAAATCAACAAAAAATAGTCATACCTTTGGGCGTCGTCTCCAATGTCTAAAAGTAGCGACACTTTCATGAATTGATTGAAAATGAATTCAAAGTCCAATGCGTCCGCAATAGACAGCTCTTGAGTGATGACATTATTTACAAACCTTAAGACAGATAATTGGGAATCAATTGTCAATTTAAAGTCTTATTATCACTTACTTTTCGAGATAAGCGCAGAAATAGGGGACATCAGGAACTAATAGATCAAATAAGTCAACACTTTGTACTTCCGTTTCATCCATGACTTGTTGATTGTCTTCAATTGGTATCTCATCCGCGGTCGCCATCGACTGTGGAATGGTTAGCCCTTCGGGTACAACACTGATAACGCTATCAATAGTGGCGTCAACACCAGCAGCGGTGCCATCACTTGTTTCACCGGTTTTCTCATTTGCATTCAATTCTTTGCTTACGATTTGATTTGATTTACAAAATTCACACAAATATCGCCATAAAAACACATTTTCCACATTCAATGAAACGCTAAACAAGCGATCAGTTGTCATATTCTGGTCCCGAAACTCATCCACCAATTGATGAAACTTTGTTTTCGACAACTCCTCGGATACCACTTCGCGGTTCAAGTGCTTGAAGTATATGTCAAGCATTCTCTCTATTAAATCCACATCTGTTTGGATGTCTAACGCAATCAACAGTTGAATCAAATTATTGTTACAACATTTAACCCACGATGGGATCAGAACTGATTCGACGACTTTGCGAACGGCGGAACTCCTGTCTTTGAGGCCATTCTTCAGGATTGTTAGCCTTTGCTCTATTGTGAAGCACTTGATCTGCAGTTTGTCCGCGATTTGTATGTAAGCTATCGATTGATTCAAAGCAATAGAAATAGATTAACAAAAACTTTCAGATCTCTCTCTAAAAATCATTATAAATACCAGTCTTTCTGATGAAGTCCTTCACATCACGAGTGGATCCCACAAAATGAGCTAAACTTTGCTGAGAGGCGGCCATCGCTTTAAGACAATTATGTCTCACTTCAGGGTCGGGATCGTAGTTGAGATGAAAATGAATCGCTTGNGATTTGTGTATTGAACGAAGAGGTGGTGTTTGAGGACTATTTCACGGAAACTTACGGCAAATTAGTGGGCATTGCGAAGGACCCGACACGAGGAACGGTATGGGTGTTCACACATTTGGCCGTTTATAGGTATAAGATTGTGGCCGAAGATAGGAATATATGGCGAATATATTTAGATAAACAGGACTTCGATGCGGCCAAACGGTTGGCCAGAAACGACGCCCTCAAGACGGACCGCATTATCTGCGCCGAAGCCGACTATTATTTCGCTAAAAAGAAGTATAATTTGCTATCAATTGCTATGAATTGGATTTTATTTGATAAAAATTTTGTTTTGTTTTTATAGCTACGAAAAGAGTGCATCGCTTTACGCCATAAGTCACAAGTGTTTCGAAGAAATTGCGCTTAAATTCATTCAAATCAAAGAAGACGAGGCTCTGAAGCAGTTCCTGGTCTGCAAATTGGATACTTTGTCGCCTAAAGACACCACTCAGCTAACGGTGCTGTTGTTATGGCTGATTGAGATACAGCTCAACCAAATGGGATCGCTTCGGAACGCCGACAAAGAGGCCACCGATGAGTACCAACTCATTGAAGCCGAGTTCCAGAGTTTGCTCTCAGAGAACAAACTTCGGGTCAGTATTTGACATGAATTTGATTTTTGTTTTGTTTATTGATTAATGTTTTTGTGTGTTTACTGTAGAACTGTTTAATTAAAAGTCGGAAAGCAGTCTATGATTTGATTGAAAGCCATGGAAGTGAGAAGAATTGGATCTCTTTTGCTGTTCTGATGCAAGATTACAATCGGATCATTGAATACCATTTAAGGCATAAGAACTATAGTCAGGCTTTCGTTGTACTTAAACAACAAGTAATTCATTTGAAAAAGTTTTGTAAAAAGTTTTTTTTTGTTTAATTTACAACTGATTTGTATTGACTGTAAAGGGAGTGACGGAAATGTTTTATAAATTTGCGCCAATTCTGATGCAAGAGATGCCATCGGAATTGATATCACTTTTGATACAATTGGCGCCACAATTGGATTCAACGAAACTGATCCCCGCTTTAGTCCAACAAAATCTGAAAAACATCGACGAAAACAATGATAAACAGGTATTTGTATTGATTTTAGAAAACTTTGAGTAACAATAGGACATAAGTATTGAAAGTTTTGTGGCATTTTTATTGATAGTGTTTGGAGACGATCCGATATCTAGAGCACTGCGCCTACAAATTAGGAGATCCCGACCCTGTAATACACAACTATCTACTGGCACTCTATGCCCAGACAGCGTCCGACAAACTGATGACATACCTGTCGATGAAAGGTCAGGACGAGTCCACCGTTCCCTACGACATCAGATACGCGGCCCGTATTTGCTGCGAACTGGGCTTAGAGAGGGCTTGTGTGC